GTAAAGAAAGAAGAACAAAGAAATAACAAAGAATTGCAATAAAGTATTAACGTAAACAAAGGCAAAGCGATCGTCTTATCGAATCCAACAAATCTGAGAAAAAGAAGAAGAATAAGAAAGAAGAAACATAAAGAAAGAAGAATTAAATAAAAATTTGTTTAGGCCTATCTTCGTACGTTCTATTTTTTTATATATTCTATTTGCTGGTGCCTCTATCTTCTTCTATTTATAGAAAATAATATACATAGATATACACGTCATATATTATATATATTTATTTATATATATTACATATAAAAAATATAGATAATTATATGAAATATTATCTATATTATTTTTATATTTATACTTGTATTTATTATTTTCTCTGTCGGCAATTTCTCTCCTGCAAAAATCTCTAAATTTGTCTTTACTTTGTTGTTTCGTTTAATTAAAATAAAATAAACATTTAAATAAATAATTTTAGTTTTAATTAATTTAATTTTAATTAATTTAATTTTAATTATTTTAATACCCCTTTGCTATTTTTTGAATAAGAGAATCTTCTCCAGCGTAATCTGCGCCAAGTGCGAGGAGAGCTGCAGCCTGAGTTTAGAGCACAAGAAGAAATATAAAAAATATTATCTTATTAAACAATTAATTTAATTTACTTTAATTCAATTAAATAATTAATTAAAGCAGTATAATTATCTGTTTCTTTCCTTGTTATCGCTCCTTTATTTGTTTGCTCGTCAGCTGTACAGACACTTCACAGCTACTCTCGCTGCTTTGAGGGAAGTAATAACAAACAAAAAATTAAAATAAACAAAATATAATAAAATAAACAGAATAAAAATAAGCACACGCTGTACAAACACACACACTTGGCTGCTGCTGCTGCTGTTGCTGCTGCTATTGCTGCTGCTGTTGCTGTTTTTGTTGTTGTTGTTGTTGCTGCTGTTGCTGCTGTTATTGCTGCTGCTGCTGTTATTGCTGCTGCTGCTGTTATTCCTGCTGGTGCTCTCTCGCTTCATCAGGCTTTGAATGTATAATATCTATACGTGTTACAGCCTTCCTCAGCAATAGAATAAAATTGAAATACTATAATATTTATATTTATATTATTATTTATTATTATAATAATTATTATTATATTATAATTATTATTATTATAAATAAATTTCTTTTTAATGCTTCACCTCTTCCTCTGGGCAGAAGACAGCGAGCTTCGTTTGACTACCAATGCCGTGTTTGAGTGTACAGACACCGCGAACACTTTCTCTGCTTAAATCTGCTTTTACATTCATTACAAGATAAACAAGCGGGTCAGTTTGCTGCTGTGTCTCTGTTGAGGCTCCTTCTCCTGCTGCTGCAGCATCTGAGGCTGCAGCAGCAGCTGCTGCTGTGGCACTGTCTTCTTCCTGCTGCTGTTGCTGCTGCTGGTGGTGCTGCTGCTCTTTGGTGTTTGCTGCTGCAGCACTTTTTTCTTCAGCTGCTCTCGTGGGAATAAGAGGTAAGAACGCCTGCAGTAGGTGAATGCCCTGAAAGGGAGAGAGCCGCAGCATTTGCTGCTGCTGCTGCTGCTGCAGCTCCAGATCATCAGAGATAAGGTTAGATTGAGAAGCTAAAGATGCCGCAGCATCAACAGCAAACACGGGAGGTGGGGGCGCCACTTTTCGCGGTTTTTTATTGCGGCCATGAAAGGGAATATACTTCAACCCCCTCTGCTGCTGCAGCAGATGCAGGCGCTGCTGCTGCTGCTGCTGCTGCTGCTGCTGCTGCTGCCGCTGGAGAAGCAAAGCTGCTCCAGACAGGCATGTGCATAGACGGCTTCCTCCTGCTCCTGCTGCTGCCGCCGCAGCAGCACAGGCGGCTTCCGCCAGCATAGCTGCTGCTGCTTCTGCTGCAGCAGCAGCAGCAGCACAAGAGACCTCCAGTAAGTAGGCAGAGAAGGAGGTGAAGAGCTGCGGGTGATCAGCTTGTCTCGCTCTTAAGGGTTTTTAATTCATTTGGGCTCTGTTAATTTAAATGTAAAGACAAAAAGAAGCAAATAAATATACGAAAAAACAAACAGAAACAACTACCGTTGCCTTCGGGTAATGCTTGGCTGCTGCTCCCTCCTCAAGGCTCTCTTTAGATCAATTTAATTGAGCGATTAAATCTTTTTTAATTAAACAAAAAATAAATAAAAGGATAATTTTAATGAACTAATTAATAACAACTCCGAATGATCATCAACACTATACAAACCCTCATCAAGGGAGTGTACAGGGAGGGCCCCGATGCTGCAGTGCTGACGAAGTGTAATACACAGCAAAGTGTTGCTGAAAAATAAGAAATTATTAATAAAATATATTATAATATCTTTTGTTATATTTTATTATATCTTATTATTATATTTTGTATGTATATATTCGTTTATATTTTATACTGTTCCACCACCACTACCGACAGCAGCAAACTGAGAAGAGAAACATGCAAATAATGCAAATTATTAAATCTCCATATAAATAAATAAATAATTCAAATTATATTTCTTTTTAAAATTTGAATTTAAATTCTATTTCTCTAAAATTCATCGTAATAGACAAGACATCTAATTCATCACAAATGAATCAAATACTTCGTAGACGATTTCAAAGCCTTTCATAATCGTATGATGATTATTAATTATTATTAATTAATTAATAATAATCAACAAATTATAATAATAATTAATTAGTTATTCAAATATAACGGAAGTAAATCTGAGGCTGTCTACTGCTGGGTGTTGTCTTATGCTGCTTTACTGCTGGTTTATTACTACTACCGTTTTAAGTGAAGTACTTGATTTAAATTCTCTTTATATAAACCCCAAATGCAACAAAGAAGATAATTGATATATTTTTAATCTTGTTGTGCTGTTGTCTCTGTTATCTATTACATTTCCTTTACTTCTCTGTTCGCTATTAATTAATTTCTTTGATAATTCCTTTGACATATCCCCAACTGGCAAAGGAGTTTCAGCTGTATAAACAAAGTAGAAAAATGTCTTTTTCTTTTGTTTAACTCAACAAAAGAAGAAGCATAAGAAAATATTTAACACAAAATATCTCTCTTCTTCTCTGTCTCTCTCTCCTTTCCCTCAAACAGAATCTCCTCTTTGGCCGGTGTACAGACAGCCAGAGACAGTTGCTGCATCTTCAGCAGATTATTATTTGCTGCTGTTTAAAGAAAAAACGTGTTACAAAAAGAAGCAGCAGCAACAACTTGAATTCGCCTTTCTAAATGCAGCCTGTGGATGTCCATTCATCCTTCGTTCACAAGACTGATGACCCGCATTAACTGGTGTTAAAAGTTTACATATATATATATATATATAGGTATATATATAGGTACAACTGCGTATGTACGTGTGAAGATGTATATATACATATATCTATATACAAACCATCAATTATACATACATACATATATTATATATATATATGTCTGCAGTTCGCTGCCCCGAATAACAAGATTTCCTCTCTTCATAAATAGAACATAGAAGAAGAATACAACAGAGCAGCGCAGCAAACCACAACACAACTGAAGAAGCCGGTCTACGGGGGAGGCGGCATTGAAGGCGCTGTGTAGAGATCGGCTAGGGCGGGGTGTTGCATCAAGGAGAGAACTTTATCAGCAGTTTCATTATCTGCGAAACAACACAAGTAGAAATAAAAGAATTTAATAAACACCTTTATTTGCTGGGTTGGAATATTTCTTCGCTTTGTCTGATGCCCTCGCAAATGATTGCAAATCTAAATTACAATCAAATACTTCCTTAATACTTCATCAACGCTTTCATTATATATATAGGATCTATGTCTATGTGAAGAGCGCTGGGCTGTACGCTGCATCAGAGGTGTTAGAGGCGAAAAGAGAAAAACTGAATTCTCACCGATATCTCCTCCTAAAGGAACAACTCGAAAACAATTTACTAAAGAATTCCCCTGAGCCTCTCCACAGATGATTACTGCGCTCTGCAAGGCAGCCGTTGGTGCGCACGCTAACGTGCAAGATACCTCTACACCTGGATAGAAGAAGAGAAACAATAAACATTAATGCTACTTCATTTCTATGCAACCGAATTTCAGGACAAGTTCATTGGTGAATAACTACTTAATATATTGAACATAAAAAATCGTTTATGCACGATTGAATTTTCATACATGTTCGTACATGTCTAGTTGAATTTGAATTTATATGTTTTTAGTGAAGCCCTGACGTGTAAATTCAAAATTTAAGAGGTTCATAGATATATAACTGAAATTTAACACGCGAAAATGAATTTCAACACGGATGTATTGAAATATGATTGAAAATGCAGATATTCATAAAGTATATTCATTTGATGAAAGCGAAGTTGAAGGATGCAAGTGAATGTCAAAGAAGACGACAAACCCACCATCAACAGAACGAACGGAAGCAACAGTTCCCTGAAGTTGCACTAAGGTGCCGAGAAGAGAAACCTGCTTTCCATTGCATGAAGTTAGTTCATTTCCCCGTACAAGTCTGCAGCAAAATGAGGCAAAAACGTAGGAGAAAATAGGGAATTAAACTCAAAAAGTAAATAGACAATATTCAAAAAGAAGAAACAAACATCAGAAAATGCATGATGAACACCAGCAGGCAGAAGCTCTAAGAAATATCTAATGAGAAGAACTCTGAAATATGAAATCACATTCATCATCATCGTCTTATTTCAGGTGTATCGGCACCTACCTGCCAGCTACCGGCGAATTCGCGGTGGGTGCAGGTGGTAAACCCCCAGCTTCCGGGGGGTAATAGGCGCACATAATTGATGAATTTTGGAGAAACTTCGCGTAATATCCCGACGAAAATGCTACACCATAATACTGTTCATCTCAGAAGAAACAATTCTCGCCGCTCTCCACCTTTTTTCGGGTTTTTATCCCTTCGGCTTTCGAATGCGGTTAGAAGCGACGACCAGCAGCCGTGTTCGTCTATAATGCGGGGCAGAAGAGGTGAAATCTTTATGCAGGAATTCACTTCATAGAAATTGAAAGACGAAACCAGGCGAAAAAAGAAGAATGCAAGGAGAAATAATTCCTTCAAGCTGGTGGTTTCTGCAACCAGGTGGTGAGAGCTCCGTTGTTGTTTTGCTTCTGACGGGTCCCAGGCAACTCTCCGTCCTCTAAATTCAGAAGCGCGTGCAAATATATGATAATAAAAATGAAAAAATAAACAATTTCTTTACAAGGGGAAGAAAACAAAGAGCTGGATTTCTGTCCTCTTGCCTTTGCTTTCGTGGGGCTGGGAGAAGATTGCTGAACTGCTCGGTGCTGGAGAACTGAGGGAAGTCCAGGGGTGAAGAGGGCTCTGGTTGGTTGATTTTCTAAGATATATTTGTTGATCATTCAATTCTGCGTTTCATAGGATACATTTGCAAGGAGAAACAGCAGCAAAAACACGAAGAGGACCCCCTCTCTCGATGCTCATGCTGGGCGTGGGGTGACCGTTATACTGTATTTCAAAGCAGCAGAAGCTGCATGCAGCTGATTTCACGCTGCCTCTTGACTTTTAATTTCTTCTGAATCGCTGCCGACTCCTCTCCTCCCCCCTCCGCATGCCGGCGTCTCTAGCAAGCCGTTGGGCGTCGCCTAGTTGGCCTCCAAACAGAGAAAAAAAACAGCTTGGGTAGCAGCTACACACGAAGATAACGTGACTGCTACCTGCTTCCTTCTCACGACAAGGGTTCTAAGGACAGCAACAGGAGCAGCAGCAGCAACAGAAGCAGCAACAGTGTAAGCAGCAGAAGCAGAAGCAGCAGCAACTGAGTTGCTGCCTGGCTTCGTTGCTTTTGGATATACTTCTTTGTTGTTATTTACCTACGTGGTGTACCTGCAGCTGTCTCCTAAACATACTGCAGCAGCGAGTGAGAATGGGCAGGGGAGGTCTACGCCCTGAGGAGTTCTTCTGTCTGTTCAACTCCACCGAAGCGTCAACACCATACAGCAGAGGCCTTCCTGAATTCGTAAAGACAGAGCAAACAGAAACAGAGGAAGCAACAACAACACCAACAGCTGCTGCTCCTGCTGCTCCTGCTGCTCCGGCTGCTCCTGCTGCTGCTGCTCCTGCTGCTTCGGCAGCGGCTGCAGAGTCGGCGAGCTCGGACTCGGACTGGACAGATATATCGTCTGTCTCCAGTGACAGCAGCAGCAGCAGCAGCAACAACAACAACAAGAACAACAACAACAACAGCAGCAACAACAACGACAACAACAACAAGAACAGCAACAGCAGCAACAACAACAACAGCAGCAGCAGCAACAAGAGAAAGCAGCAACACACCAACAGGCAAAGCAGCAGCAAATTTATTTGGCGTCGCCCTGAAGCTAATGATGCTGAGGACAGCAGCGACTGCTACCCTAGCGGTTCAGCATCAGCATCAGCAGCAGCAGCAGCAGCTGCTGCTGCTGCTGGGCCATACAGCTCTTTTCACGGTATAAACTATGCTCTTGGGTCTTCTTACCCTTGGATGTTCCCTAGAGCAGCAGCAGGGGCACCTCCAGCAACAGCAGCAGCAGCAGCAGCAGCAGCAGATTCTGAGTTTGAGTCTCTGTGGGGTGACTATGATACGGCGAGTTGGGGGTTTGATGCAGATTCTCTTTTCTCTGATTTCGCTGGAGAGGCGGAGTTAGAGGCTGCAGCAGCTCAGGGCTTAAACCACCGCTTGCCAGACTTCATAGGTTAGCGCGAGGGTTTAGGGTTTAGGGTTTAGGGTTTCTTTTTATCTGCTAGACGCTGTTGCTCCTTTTGCTGTCGACTGTGCTGCCTCCTGATGCAGCGTCTTCTAGCGCTTATTAGGGTTTAGGGTTTAGGGTTTAGCTCGACTGTGGTGCCTCCTGATGCAGCATCTTCTAGCGCTTCTTAGGGTTTAGGGTTTAGGGTTTGGGGTTTGGGGTGCTGCAGAGGCAGGCGAAGTTTGTTGGTTGCCGATGGCAGCAGAAATGCTGAAGACTTTGAATGTGCGCGACTGGCGGATGTACTTCGCTCTGAGGGTAAACAAAAGCAAAAACAAACAAATAAATTAAATAATATAAAATAAAATAAAAATAAAATAAAAGGAAGCAAAATTAAATAAGATTAAACAGAGTTAACAGAAAAAATAAAAAAAATAAGATAAAACGAGACAAATAAAATGAAGTAAAATAATTTCAATAGAATAAATAAGATAAATAAAATAAAGTAAAACAAAACGCAATAAAATAAGATAATTTAAATAGTATAAATAAAATAAATAAATAAATAAATAAATATAAAATAGAAATGTTTAATGTTTATTGCTGATGTTCAATTTAAAAATGAATTCGCCAATTATTTCGCCCTTCATCCAACGCAACTTTTAATTTAATTTTTATAATATATATTTATATTTATGTTTATTTATTCTTTGCATTTAATTTTTATAATATATATTTATATTTATGTTTATTTATTCTTTTTATTTAATTTTTATAATATATATTTATATTTATGTTTATTTATTTATTTAATTACGGAGCGAAATGAGTAAAAAACAAATAAAATTTTAGAGTTTTACTCAAACACGTTTGATTGAATTAATAGACAATTAAACAACTGAACGTGCTTGAGAATGCTCTGGTGTTTGTTTAGTGCTTCACTGTATCTGTTTATGTCTGCTTGCTGCTGCTGCTGCTGTTGCTGTTGCTGCTGCTGCTGCTGTGGTGCAGGCGGAGCTGCTGCTGCTGCTTGCGGAGCCCAAAGATGCCTGGGCCTCTGCCACGGCCGCGCAGCAGCTCATGAACAGCTGCAGCAGCAGCAGCAGCCGGAGCAGTAGCAGGAGCGGCAGCAGCAGCAGCAACAGTAGAGACATGATGAGTGTGCGACTGATGGATATATTGTCTTTGTGCGTCTTGCAGCAGAGCCACAGTGCAGCAGCAGCAGCAGCACGGGAATTGGATTTGCCTCAGGCATTGCTGAGATGCCAGCCGCCTGATGTCTCTCCTCTTTGTGTTTCTCTCTAATGCGAGTTTCTTTATATTATTGTTTGTTGTCTATATCTGCTCAAACTGCTGTCTGTTGCAGCTGCTGTCTTGTGCTGCTGCTGCTGCAGCTGATACTGTGAATGCAGCAAACACCTCCATGGTGGTGGATGGTGCTGCTATTTGCTGTTTTTCTTTGTGTGCATCTGCTGCTGCTCTCTGTCTTCTTTGTTGCTATTCTTCTCTTTACCTGCGGTCTAGCAGCAGCACCGCTGCTGCTGCTGCTGCAGAGGCTCTTGCTGCAGCAGCAGCAGAAGCAGTTTGATTAAAAGACATTTTTATGGTGGCGGCAGTTTTCGCTGCTGCGATTCAAATCAGTGTTTGAAAGAAATACGCAAAGGGTGTTTGCTGCTGCTGCTGCAGCAGCGGAAGTAGTACATTGGCTGCTGCTGCTGCTGCTGCTGCTGCTGCAGTAGTAGTTGTACGTTTGCTGCTGCTGCTGCTTCTAGGCTATATAGTCAAAGTCAGTTGTAGAAGGAATTCCCTGGGTGCTGCTGCATATGCAGTCGCTGCTGCTGCAGTTGTTGCTGCTGGTGCAGCTGCTGCTGCTGCAGCAGCTGCTGTTGCTGCTGCGGATTCATCATATGAATCTGCTGCTGCGGCTGCATTTGCTGCTGGATAAGGCCTTCGTGGCTGCGACTGGTGACAATTTGAGGTTGCTGTTGGAGCTGCTGCAGCTGCTGGTGCTGCAGCTGCGGGTGCTGCAGCTGCTGCTGTTGAAGCTGCTGCTGTTGAAGCTGCTGTTGCTGAAGCTGCTGTTGTGGCAGCTGCTGCTGCTGCGGGAAGACCGATGATTCTCCAAGGGGGCCCCTCATGAATGGTTGCTGCAGCTGCTGCTGCTGCAGTCGCTGCTGCTGCAGCTGCTGGTGTTGTAGCTGCTGCTGCTGTAGCTGCTGTTGCTGCAGCTGCTGCTGTTGTAACTGTTGCTGCTGCAGTTGCTGTTGCTGCAGCTGTTGCTGCTGCAGTTGCTGCTGCTGCAGCTGCTGCTGTTGCAGCGGTAGCTGTTGACTAGGAGATAAGCCCATCATTTGCTGCTGTGCATAGTGCTGCTGCCGGTGCTGCTGCTGCTGCTGCTGCTGCTGCTGCGGCTGAGTGCCTATGCGGGGGTGAGGAGGCGTCGCTGCAGTCTGGCAAAGTAGCCGCTGCTGCTGCTGCTGCTGCTGCTGCTGTTGCTGCATAAGATCGCGTTGGTGGGACTGCTGGAGATGTTGCAACTGCTGCGGCTGGAGCTGCTGCTGTTGCTGCAGCGGCTGCTGCTGCAGTTGCTGCTGCTGCAGCTGCTGCTGCTGAAATGACGGTTGCTGCTGTTGCTGCCAGCTGGGGGGGCCCATCAACAGCAGCTGCTGCTGCTGTTGCTGGGCAGCAGCTTGTCGATATGCCTGCTGCTGCTGCTGCTGCTGTTGCTGCTGCAGCGGCATCTGCGGCATTTGCTGCTGCAGCGGCTGAGATGGCGCTGCGTATCCGAGTTGGCTTGTGAGCTGCTGCTGCTGCAGCTGCTGCTGCTGCAGCTGCTGCTGATGCAGCTGTTGTTGGTGCATCTGTTGCTGTTGCAGCAGTGGCTGCTGAAGATGTTGCTGCTGCAAGACCTGCTGCTGCTGTGGTTGCTGCTGCTGCTGCTGCTGCGGCATAAAACTCGAAGAGCAGGAAAAAGAACGGGTTGGGGGACCGTGCATCTGTTGCTGCTGCATCTGTTGCTGTTGCAGTTGTTGCTGCTGCAGCTGCTGCTGTTGCTGCAGCTGTTGCTGCTGGAAAGGTTGCATCTGCTGCTGCTGTTGCTGCTGGGGCTGTGGCTGTTGCTGTTGGTGCTGCTGCCTCATTACGAACGACTGCTGCGGCAGCACGTGCTGCTGTTGCTGCTGACTTAGCTGCTGCGCTACATAGCGTGGGTCTGCAGCAGCAAACTGCTGCTGCTGCTGCTGCTGCTGCAGCGTCAGTTGCTGCTGCTGCTGCTGCTTAGGCGCATAGTCAGCACGACCCTGCATGGCATATCCCAGTGGCTGCTGCTGCAGCTGCAGCGGCTGCTGCAGCCCTCCTGCGCTTGTTCTTTGCCGCTGCAACCATTGCTGCTGCTGCTGCTGCTGCAATTGTTGCTGCTGCTGCTGTTGGTGTTGCTGCTGCTGCGGCCCCATCTGGAGCTGCATATGCTGCGCTGCTGCAGCTTGCTGCTGCTGCAGCGGGAACGGCTGCTGGGTCCTTTGGAAATACTGCTGCTGCTGCTGCTGCTGCTGCAGCTGCTGCTGTTGCAGCTGCTGCTGCTGCAAGTAAAGCTGCTGTTGAGGACCAACAAAGCCTTGCTGCTGCTGTTGCTGCCGCTGCTGCTGCAGCAGCTGCTGCTGCTGAGCTACTGCTCCACCAGGGGGCCTGCACACAAAAGCCAAACCCTCAGAAGCAGCAGCAACATCGCTTCAAACAGCAGCAGCAATAGCAGCAATACATTAACTACAGAAGGAGCACCAAAGGCAACAGCAGCAACCGCAGCAGCAGCAGCGAAGGCTAGAGCAGCAGCACCACAACTCGCGCAGACGCAGCAGCAAATCTCGCAGCGGAAACCCCAGGAGCAGCAACAACAACAACGGGAGCAGCAGCAGCAACACAACAGAAGCACCGGCAAGCGCAGCAGCAGCAACAGCAGCAGCAGCAGCAGCAACTGACTGCATTGGGGGAAGTGCTGCCGCGAGGACATCCAAATCACCCACACCGAAAAACAAAGCAGCCACAGCCTGCAGCAGCAGCAGCAGAAGCAGCAGCAGCAAAAATAAGCAAAGGAAGGCAGCAGGCACTTAAAAAATCACACAATAATACTCCAACTGCAGCAGCAGCAGCAAAAGCAACAGCAGCAGCACCAACAGCGGCAGCAACTACAACAGCAACACCAGCAGCAAGACAAAACCAGCAAGAAGCACAGCAACACTAACTGCAGCAGCATGACCAGCATAATCCACAGCACCAGAACATCACCAGCAGCAAAACAGCAGCAGCAGCAGAACACCAGCAGCAGAACAGCAGCAGCAACAGAACAGCACCACAGCAACAAACCAACGGCAGCAACACAATAACAGCAGCAGCAGAACAGCAGCAGCAGCAGCAGAACAGCAGCAACAAACCAACAGAAGCACCAAAACAGCAGCAACACCAAAACAACAGCAGCAGCAGAACAGCAGCAGCAGCAGCAGCAGCAGCAGCAGCAGACCGCCAGGCTGTAGGTGATGGAGAATCCGAAGGCTTTTGCTGTTTTCTCCATCATGGGTTTTAAAACGGTTGAGGAGTACAGCCGCTCTTTCTTTTGCAGCTCCTGAACAACAAAACAAACATTTGCTGCTGCTGCTGCTGCTGCTGCTGCTGCTTGTGCTTGTGCTCATAGTGTCACTAGGGCTGCTTCTGCGGCTGCGCGTGCTGCTTGTGCTGCTGCTGCTGTTATTTCTGCTGCTCTTGTTGTGCAGCAGAACAGAAAAGAAGCAGCAGCAGCAAGGAAAGGAAGTGAAACCGTGAAGAGCAAAGACAACAGCAGCAGCAGCAGCACAGGCGGCGGCAGCAAAAGCAGCAGCAGTAGCTGCAACACCAGACAAATTAAGCAAAAGAGCAGCAGCAGCAACAGCAACATCACGCATAGCACCATCCACACGAACAACAGCAGCTGCAGCAGCAACAGCAGCAGCAGCAGCAGCAGCAGCAACAGCAGCAGCAGCAGGACCTGCAGGAGTGTAGGTAGACGAATGCCTTGCAGCATCACAACAGAGACATGAGGAGGAGGGAAGGGCTGCATGCTGACGACAGCAGCAGCAGACGAATACACCCGAAATAAAACCCCTTCTTCGTCATGCAGCGACACCATTTGCTGCTGCTGCTGCTGCTGCTGATGCTGCTGCTGCTGAAGCTGCTGCTGCTGTTGTTGCTGGTGCTCTTGCTCAGGCAGCACGTGCTGCTGCTGCTTTTGCTGCTGCTGCTGCTGCTGCTGCTGCTGTTGTTGCTGCTGCTGCTCGACAGCAAAGAAGAGACAGCGAGGCAGCGGAGGCAGCAGCAGCGGCAGAGGCATTAAATGCAGCAGCCGCAGCAAAGACAAAGAGGAGACAGAAACCCCTAATAAACGCTGCAGCAAAACTCGCATCACCAACCTGAATGCAAACAAACAAACACAAAAAAATAAATTAACCAACACATATATAATCAAATATATATATATATATAAACAAATATATATATATATATATATATATATATAAACAAATATATATATATATATATAAACAGATATACATATATATATATATAAATATATAAACAAATATATATATAAATATATAAACAAACATATATATATATATATATAAATATATAAACAAATATATATATATATATAAACA